AGACAGACTGGGGAGCAGAACAGGCAGATCCACGAAGTACACTGCTGAGGGGAGCAGAGGGCGGGACAGGAGAGGTCTGCCACGTGGTCTCCTCCGGGGCAGGCAGGAATCGAACTCATTCCGAAGTGGCTTAATCTTCTTAGTGCAGTGCTTTAACCCATTACGCCACCAGGGAGGGCCCCTCTTCTGTTTTTATGCAAGAGTTTTTTAAACCCAATTAGAGATTACATTTATTTGTATGCATTTTTATCTTTCCAGTTTGAGTTTATTATTTCACTTTGTGAAACTTTTGAAGCTTGATTCTGTCATCTCAAGTTTACTTCATCTATAAATTGATAAGCAGGCTTTGTATATTTCCTGTCATTAAAGATATTCACCCAAGCTGGACTGACAATGAGGTCTTTACAGTATGCGATAATTTCTTTTAAGATAATGGCTCTTTGTTTGGAGGATTGCTCTTTCAGTATTTAATACAAATGGTTTTCTTCTAATACTGTCATCCATAAAAATTCATTGTAATCTACAAAGGAAACTAAAAAATACAGACCTAGTGCTATAGATACTGATATTGAAGTCCACATAGATTATAAAATACTCGAACTCCACATAGATTATAAAATACTCTAATGCTGCAGTGTTTGGTCCTAATTTTTAGCAAGTAATTCTGCTTAGTGTGGGAGTCAATAATAGAAGTGTTTCTGTATCAAAATATCATAATTGTTAAAGCACACTAATTGTATTTCATTAAATTATGTAGTAATTATGTCTGAGATGTGCAAGATCCAGGATATTAATATGCCAGTGAGATGATAAGTTTAAGAGGAACCATGGAACATTAATTTTGTTACCTACAACAGAGCATCAGTCTTAATCATAAAAAAAATCTGTTTTTTATCAGATGAATATCAAAAGGTTGTTTTGATTAGAAATTAGCCACAGTGCGACTGATCTGTTTTTGAACAGATAAAAGAGAGTGTAAGATTAATATAGTTAGTTTGTAATCAGACTTAAGAAGAGAAAAGATAATTAAATTGTAATGCTTTTAAGTTAAATTTGAGGATTAATGTTTTTTAAACAACTGCCAGTATCGCCTTAATTACTTAAAAATACTATATTTGCTCTCCATTAAATTGTCCCAGCTTAGAGTTAATTTTTGTTGTTGTTATTTACTTTGAGGGTAGTTATGTTTTGGAATAATTTTTTTAAATGTGTATGCTTTACATGAGTGTGATTGAATTGTTTTGGACAAATAGTTGTTTGGAATAAATAGTTAAAGTTGCAGAAAATGTGTATTAGTTTCATGTAAAATACTATATTTCTTTACATTTATAGAAGAAAATATTAACTAAAGTTTCACATATTTGCTCCTGAAAACACATTAATTAAATTTGATTTCATCATTTATGAGAAAAGGATTGCTTTGGTAGTATACATTGTGATGTAATACTTGATTTCCAAAAATTATCAAGATTCAAAATTTTTTTATCATCAATAGGGGTTGAGTACATTCAAATTACGAATATTACTGACCTTTAATTATGATAAGCATCTCTTTTTAAAAACTAATCTCTATTTTAAATGAAAATTAAGTCCAGAAGCTATGGCAAATTCCTTCCATATACTAAGTTTCAAGAAAAATGAAGACAAAATGGTAAAAAAAATTCATGTAATATTTTCACATAAATTCAGTGTAACACCTTCAGTCCCACTGATTAATTCACACATGTATTAAATTATTTTGTCATAAATTTATGGGGGCTAGCTTATCTTTATACAATTATCTTTATCTCTTTTTAATTTTGACTCTTTGCCGATAGCTAAAATGGCACCTCGCTCTCCAGATGGTCGGATGAGCCGTTCTCAAACTGACTCTGTCCCTGGTCCCACTGTGGCAGCTTGCAAAGAAAACCTCCCTGTGCTCAATACCAGAATAATCTGCCCAGGTAGTACAGATTCTGAAAAATGGTATATTTTTAAGTTTTTCTGTGGAAGTGTGGAAGTACTCATTTCCATAAACTATAGAAATTTGTGTTTAAAGATAAATGTTCCTTTAGGAGAATGTTCTTGGTATGCTTATCAACCAGAATCCAGATGCTTAGACTTTTGTGTGTGAGAGAATTACATGGGAAGGAATAAAATACATGTATTGGGGCTCTGCCCTGAGAAATACTGGGTGAGTAGCTCTAGAGTAGAGCACAGGAAGCTGCATGTGCTTCAGGACCCAAGATGAACCACATCCTGTATTCTACTCATTTTTTAGTATATCCAGAGCTTTCATTTTAGTTTTAAGCCACAAGTTTCTTTGTGGTTATTTTTAGACTAGTAAAATTGCTTCATTTTGGAATGTCTGAGACATTCATTCCTGCCGTGGTACAGTGAATTTACCAAGTTAATACTAGTGGAAACCAAAGAACTTGTGCTGCAGGGTAGGAGGGAAATATAAATCTCAGTTGTTTGACTTAAGTACCAGTTGTTTGACTCACTAAAAATCTTCTCCATTCACTCAAGTGTAGATTAGAGCTTAAGTTACAGCTTAAAAACCATTTTCTCCTTCAAATTCTATTTAAAGATTAATTACAGTTCAATATTAATATTGTACAGTTTAATATCCCTCTTTCAATGTTGGGTAGAGAAAATAGAAGTCAATAAGGAAATAGAAGACTTGAAAATTTCTTAAAACAAGTAGCAGAATAGCAGAATACACACTCTTTTCATGTGCTCATAGAACATTTTCAAGTATACATCATGTGTTGGGAAACAAAACAAGCCTCAATAAATTTAGGAAAAATGAAATTATATCAAACATCTTTTCAGACCATATCTGTATGAAACTAGAATCAACCAAAAGAACAAAGGGAGAAATTACAGTTTTGTGGAGAATAAACATTGTACAACAGAACAACTACTGCATCAATGAGAAACTCAAGGTGAAAGCAGAAATATCTTCATTTTACTGATAAAATGAAGACATGACATATCAGAACCTATGTGATACAGCAGGAGCAGTATTAAGAGGTAATTTATAGGCTTATCCAATTAACAGGAAGTATCACAATTGAGAAATCTAAGCTTATAGCTGTTGGAACTAGAAAAAGAAGAAAAAGCAAAACCAAAAGTCATTACATGAAGGAAATAATATTAGAGTAGAAATTAATAAAATAAAAATGAACAATTGAAAAAATCAACAAAGCCAAGAGCTAGTTCTTTGAAAAGATTAACAAACCAGGTAAACATTTAGCCAGACACAAAGAACAAGAAAGAGAAAACACAAATAAATAAAAGAAGACAAGTTGCAGCAGATACTATATAAATAGAAGGGACTATAAGGGAGTGTTACAAAATGATAACAAATTGTACCAGCTACAAAACATTACAAACGCTAAGAAAACAGCATTCGAAGACTGAATCAGAAAAGAAACAAATCTGAACAGACCCATTACAAGTAAGGAAATTGAAGCAGGGTCAAAATCTTACCCCAAAACAAGTAGCAAGGCCCAGATAACCCACTAGTAAGTTAATACTTATCCTACTCAAACTCTTCCATTCAATTCAAAAAGAGAAAAAACTTACAAATATGTTCTATGAAGCCAACAAGCATTACCATGATTCTGAAACCAAACAAGAACTTCACCAAAAAAGAAAACTATAAACCATTATCTATCATCAACATAGATGCAAAAATCCTCAACAAATCTTGGCAAATAAAATATAGCATACATTAAGAGCATCATATGTCATAATCAAGTGGAATTTATTCCTGGAATGCAAGGTTGGTTTAACATATGCAAGTTAATAAACCTGATAGTCCACATCAACAAAAGAAAAGACAAAAATCACATGGTCATCTCATTAAATACAGAAAAAATTTTGACAAGATTCAACATTCTTTACTGATGGTGAGTCCTCAACAAAATGGGTTTAGAAGGGACATGTCTAAACATAATAAAGCCCATATACAATAAGCCTACAAATGATCTTAAATTCAGTGACAAAAACCTGAAAACTTTTCTTATAAGATCAAGAAAAGGATGTCTCCACTCTCACCACTGCTCTTTGATATAATATTGGAAGCCCTATTAAAAGCTATGCACAAGAAAATATATAAAGGTATTCAAATAGTAAGAACTATCATTGTTTGAAGATGGCATGATGATATACATAGAAGTATATACATAGTATACATAGTATAATGACCAGGTACAAAGTTAGTTAAAATTTTGTTGCATTTCTACACTCAGATAGTGAACTCAGATAGTCACAGAGAGAGAATTTAGGAAAGCAATCTCATTTACTACCACATAAAAAAGAATTAAATACCTTGGTTCATACTATATAACCAATTAAAAAAAGAAAGAAAATACGTTGATACAAATTTAAAAACAGATATTGATTAAGTGGCAATGGTAAAGATAAGAAATAGAGCAATTCTATTTTTTTTAAACATTTATTCATTTATTCATACAGAAATGGGGTACAGGCCAGAGATGCGGAGGGTGAGAGGATACACCAGAGACAGAGCAGGGAGCAGAACAGGCAGATCGACAAAGTACACTGCTGAGGGGAGCAGTGAGCGGGTCAGGAGAGGTCTGCCACACCATGTGGGTCACCTCCTGGGCAGGCGGGGATCAAACTCATGCAGAAGTGACTTAAGCTTCTTAGTTCTGTGCTTTAACCCGCTGCGCCACCAGGGAGGGCTGCAATTCTATTTTTTAGAGAAGAAATTTGGGTTGGGTAGATTATAAAATCATTAGCTTTGAGTACTGCAAGTGGAAAGATGAAATAAATTTTAAGTGTTGCACATTGACATGTAAAATAAATTCTTCATTTTTTTAAATATCCATTCGTGAAATTTTATAAGTCTCTGCATTTAATAACTTAACATTTGTTCTTGACACACTCCTGAGTTTTTATCTTAATATAGCTGTTTACATTTTAAAATATTGAATAATATTATCTGTTTTGAGAGTATGGAAATGCTAACTCTGAAATTTTGGGTAATCCAGCATCTAATCCAAGGTCCTTACAGATTTAATACTTTGCTATCACAAAGGAAGTAGCATTCACTTATTGAAGTCATAGATTTCTGTGGGATGATAAAAACTCACGAAGGGACTCTTACTAGGTCCTGATTTCTTAATTTTTTAATGATGACATATAGGTCCTAAGAAGCATCAAAAATCTTGTATTTGCAATGTCATATCCTTAAATTTGGTTAATGAGAAAAGAAGGGAGAATGAAAACCAAGCTTTGGGAGTAAGATGTTTCAGGTTAGACTTGAAAACAGGCTGATTCTTTTTCTTTCTTTCTTTTTTTTAAACGTGATCCTGTATGTATTTGTTTTTCTGGCCAGGTTTAAGAGCAGGACTGGCTGCCTCAATTGCTGGGAGTTCTATTATCAACAAAATGTTACTAGCAAATATTGATCCCTTTGGTGCCACGCCGTTCATTGACCCAGATCCAGATTCAGTGTAAGAAAATACTTTTGCCAATATTTTGTTTTGACTTTTCTTGTTTCCATTATATTGATGGTAACATTTTAATAAATAAGGTTTACATACAGAATGGATAATGAGAAATTTTTTAAAAGTTGATCACAGTGAGCATATTGACCCAGCTGAAAGGCAATAGTTTTTCTGATCTGTTTCTCATCAGCATGTTTTCTCCTATATCAACCCTCTGGGGGAAGTGAGGTAATTATCTATCACTTTTCCCTGGAAATGTTTTTCATTGGCACCTTCATACCTGTATTTATGCTTTCCCCAAACTCCAACTCATTTCATTTCCATTTTGCCAAATTTGTCTTCTTGATACATCCAGCTTCTGGATTTCCTTGTTCTAGGACACTTTTGACCTACTTTGATCTCTTTCTTTCTAAAAAACTAAATTTTTTTTGGTAGTTTCCTTTTGGTAGACTTCAAATTTAATTTGGCTTTTTTTGTATCTCCTTTCTTTAAGGACAGTATGATAAACAAACTTCTTTGTATTCCTAAAGTACCTAAAACAGTGGTTGGATGTAGTAAACTTTCTAATGATTGCAACAAGGGGATATTAGTGTCTGACTACGTAGCCCCTTATCTGCCAGTGCAATGAAGGATTTGTCCAAGAGGTGGAAGAACTATGAAGTTGTTACCTTTCAAAGAACAAAAATCTGTTGTTTTAACCTTTGGTTATTGTTGTTATTTGTTTTAGTGATGGGATCATTAGTTTTTTCATCCCAAAAATGGACTATGTAAACAAAATATATTCTCATAATCCTTGTAATATCTATGTATACATAGACAATACTCTTGTGTATATCTCACACTTAAAACATAAAGAATGATTATTTATGGGTGTGTATTTAACTTTCCAGTTAGTTTCAATACTCGGTCAGTATCTATAGTCCCCACACCTTCCCCTCTCCTCCCACGTAGCATGTTTTTCTTTCCCGTCCCCCGCTTCAGAGTTCTATCAAAAATTCAGAATTAAAAATACTTAGTGTTATGATTATATTAAAAGGAATTACTAATTAGTCATAGTATAGATTTTTTTTTAAAGATTTATTTATTTGTACATACAGAACTGGGGTACAGGCCAGAGGCTCAGGGGTGATGAGAGGCTTCACCAGAGACAGAGTGGGGAGCAGAACAGGCAGATCGCTGAAGTACACTGCTGAGGGGAGCAGCGGGCGGGTCAGGAGAGGTCTGCCACGCCATGTGGTCTTCTCCAGGGCAGGCGGGAATCGAATTCATGCGGAAGTGGCTTTAGCTTCTCAGTGCAGTGCTTTAACCCGCTGCGCCACCAGGGAGGGCCATAGTATAGATTTTTATACCTTTTACTCAGTTTTTTGTTGCCACTGTTAAATATTTCATCTTTTATCTTCTATAGCATTTTTATTAAATATTTTTTATTTTCTTGCCCTATTATTCATTTTTGTACAGTATCTGATCTCCCCTCAGTTGTATTCCCCATAAATTCGCACAACCTCACACCTGCACCATCACCATAGTCCCTTGTGCTCTTCTCTCCACTGTGTAGACCCCTCTCTCCTCCCCCTCCCCTGCCTTGTCCACTTTTCCTTGCATTATATATAGCAAAAATTACAAGTGGTGGGGTCCTTGATGTGACATGTGAGTAGGAAATGATTCCTGCTAAATTTTACTCTCCTATCAGAAACTCTGCTAAGTTTTTCTCTTATCAGGAATGGAAGCTTAAATACTTTAAATGCTATTTCATGTATAAATCATAATTGTTGTTATGAATCTGAATTGGCTTTTGTATACTTTTCATTATTATCATAGAGATGGATATTCAGAAAAATGTGTCATGAACAATTATTTTGGGATTGGATTAGATGCAAAAATTTCACTAGAATTTAACAATAAGAGAGAAGAACACCCTGAAAAATGCAGGTAATTTCAGTAATAGTAATAATTTTATTTCATGATGGCAATTTTACTTTAATTTCATTTATTATCTCTTGCTTGCACTGCTTTTAGAGAGTCAATAAGTAATAGTTACTGAAATTTCATGTCAACATGTATTTTCAGGAGCCGAACTAAAAACTTGATGTGGTATGGAGTCCTTGGAACTCGGGAATTATTACAGAGATCATATAAGAATTTAGAACAGAGGGTGCAACTTGAGGTAAGTGTATCCTAAAATAAAGATGCTTCGGGTTATTTTACATAGAGAAATAATCTCATTTGTGGAGTAAATTTGACCTAAATTCCTCTTGATTAGAGACAAAACACTAAAAGGAAAAACAATTGGAAGTGATTACTATATACTAAGGAAGGCAAAAAAATTGAATATAAGTGACACATTTAATTGTTGATATCATAGCTCCTGAAATGTGGATGCTACTGTAGAGTTGTAGTGACTTTTGAAAAGATGGAATTGTAGAATACATTTATAGAGCAAGATTTTTTTTATAATAGTTTATTTTTACATCATTTTGTACATTTTTTTTTCATCTCAATTGTAATCCCCGCGGGTTTCCCATCACTGAGTCACCCGTGTGCCATCATCATAGTCCCGTGCACTTCCCCCCCTCCACCCCCCCGTTTTTGATCCCATTCCCCACTCCACCCCCACAAAATGTCTCTGGTATATGGCTGTATAGAACAAGATTTTTAATAGCTTTTTTCATTTAGGTTTCCAAATTCTGATCCAATTTTGTAAAACCTAAAGTTTCACAAATCCATGAAAATAACATTCATAATAAATAAGTTCTTTTGTTTGAAATACATTTTGTTTCAATTATTTTTTCCCAAAAACTAGTCTAAAAAAACAGATTTTGCGCATTTACATTTAAAAGTATTTTCACTTAATTAAATAGAAAGCTAAGGACAGCAAATATCTGTTGTATTCTGTGAGGAAGGAGAATCTTAATGTCTTGCCTTTAAGTTTGTATAAAGGAAAGACCTCACCCCGTTTTCTCCATCTGCAAAAATGGGTAAAATAGTGCTTTTCAATTTGGAGAGTTAATGTATTAAAAAAAATCACAGTGTGAGCTGGTAAGAGCTATTCAAATATAGCCTCTGCTCTATTTTTCAAGTTCATCAACTGTGAATCTGTTATATACCCAGGTTTTAGAACCATTTAATGAGCTTTATTATCTTCTGTATAATTATGGGAATGCCAGAAATATTTTTGACTCATGAATTTTATTAAAATTGAAAGCATTTTTCCTTAAGAATGGTGACCTTTTGTCTCTAATATACCTAATCTACACATGTCATAATTTGATTTTTGTTGTTTTTTTTTTTAAGATTCATTTTTTGCACACAGAGCTGGGGTATAAGCCAGAGGTGCAGGGGCAGTGAGAAGAGTCATCATAGCCAGAGTGGGGAGCAGAATAAACAGATTGAGAAAGTACACTGCTGAGAGGAGTAGCAGGCGGGTCAGAAGTCTGTTGCTGCACCATGTGGATCACCTTCGGGGCTGGGGATCCAACTTGCGCTGAAGCAGCTGCTGCTAGCTTGCAGTGCAGTGTTTTTAACCTGCTGCGCCACCAGGGAGGGCCAACTTGTTCTATTTTTTTTTTTTTTTAAGATTTATTTATTTATTCGTACAGAACTGGAGTTCAGGCCAGAGATGCGGAGGGTGAGAGAATACATCAGAGATAGAGTGGGGTGTATAACAGGCAGATAGACGGAAGTACACTGCTGAGGGGAGCAGCGAGTGGGTCAGTGGATCCATCACCTCCAGGGCAGGCAGGAATCAACTCATGTGCAAGTGGCTTAAGCTTCTTTGTGTTGTGTTTTGACCCGCTGCGCCACCAAGGAGGGCCATTGTTCTATTTTTTAAGTGAAATAATTTTCGTATTCTGTTTTGAGTTCTTTAAGTACTAAGGATACATAAAGAAAATGGTTTTTTAAATTATCACCTATATTTAAATGAAATAAATAACAAAGAACAAATAGATGTTTAATTCACGTTTTTACTTGAATTTTTTTTAAAGATTTATTTATTTCTACATACAGAACTGGGGTATCGGCCAGAGGTGTGGTGGTGGTGAGAGGATTCACCAGAGACAGAAACAGGGAGCAGAACAGGCAGATTAATGAAGTACACTGCTGAGGGGACCAGCGGGCGGGTCAGGAGAGGTCTGCCGCGCCATGTGGTCACCTCCGGGGCAGGAGGGAATCGAACTCATGCGGAAGTGGCTTTAGCTTCTTAGTGTTGTGTTTAACCCGCTGTGCCACCAGGGAAGGTCCTTTACTTGAATTTTTCTATAATCTTGTAACAGTTATTTCTATAATAGAAATAATAATCTGTCTTTTCTAAAAACATTAGATAAATTTGGTATATTACATAACAGTAATTTCTATATTTAGGTCATCTTAGTAATAGTTATAACTAGTTCTAAAATGTTATAATAATTAAAATATACTGAATGCTTTCTACATATTACCTTTAATTCTTAAACATTATGAGGTAGTTATCATTCTTTATGAGGCAGGTTTTATGAGTCTGTTCTGAAGACTGAATTTGCTTGCTCAAAATCAAATGGCCAGTATTTGGAGGAGCCAAAATATCAACTCTTGTTTTTTTTATTAGAAAAACGCTAATATGAAATTCTGACTGAACAAAGAGACTTTTTACCCAGCTTTGGGTGCTCTACTATAGACTAAGGATTACTAGCCCATTTTGTAGCTGAGCAAACTGAAATTCTGAATGTTCAAGGGACACTCAGAAATAAGTGACAGAATTCAAAACAGGCCTACCATTTTCCCAGTTTAACTGCTGGTTCATAGTATTTTGCAACATCACAAACAAAAAATGGAAATGTGGGTAGATAGAAAAGATTTAAAACAATGTTCCATTCCTGAAGTTTTTCCTAAAAACAAGAGAAAGTATTGAGTCAGGTGATGTTAATTTATTGCATCTCATGAGTTGCTCATATTTTCCCTATAATACTTGATGAAATGGTCACTAAGCACTAAATTCTGAGTTTTGCTTGATACATAATAGGCTAAATCCAGCAGTGTATATAGAACTTCCTTCTAAATGTTCATCTTTTCCATATGATTCTTGCAAGTAAAGTGTATCTATTTATAAAACCTTTGAAACTGTTCTGAACTGATTTAAAGATATTTTTATATTTACATTTATGGAATTTTTCCATTTCCTTCAAGTTATATGACTTAGACAGCTTTTTTTTTTTTTTTCAAGAGCACACAAAGACATTTGTTCAATTTGGGGGGTTCAGGGAACATTTATACTAAATACTTTATTCATTTAGCACATAGACATGGAGCACCACCATCTTTGTGCAAGGAATGGCCCGAGGTGCTGGGATACTTTGTGGATCATTGAATGTGTCCTCATGAAAAAAGACAAGAAAGGAATTGTAAAAAGTGCCTGAAGGAGTAAATCATGTATAAAGTATTCTCAGTTATATATAGTAGTTGAAAATCAATGCAAACCTAATTCTTACTTGTTCTAAAGGTTGGAGATAATTTTAATTATGTTAAAATGTAAATTTTATAAAAGTTATTATGTTAATGTTAGAATTACTTTTTGAAAATTAAGCATCTATCTGTTTTAAGTGTGACATCTTACAAACTCCACCCTTAAAATGAAGTTTTAAATTTCTACTCAGTAAGATTTGCCCAAATGTCATGTATAATTACTTCACCAGCCATATATTATTTCCTTATTTAAGTGGTAATTTAATTTTTACTTAAGTGGTTAGTTAGAAGGCATGGACTACAGGGTACTTTTGGACATAATCTGTGCTTTGGGATGATCTGACTTGAAAAATTCAACTTCTCACTTAGCCAGTTTGTCAGTGAATTACATAACAGCAACAGAGTAGCAGGAGTTGAATGAAGTGCTAGAAGAGATGGTTAGGACCCAGAGTTCACCTTTACAGAGCCCACTTTCCCAAGTAAATGAGATGACCGCAATAGCATATGTAAAGAGATGAGCATAGTGCAAGAGAGAGTGTCCTAAATGCCCTGAAGAAGACTTAAGAAAAATATTGTTTGGTTTTGAAGGAAAGAAGAGGTAAAATTTGATTTTCTGTAACAATTTCTGCTAGTTATTTGTACTTTGAAAATATTAAATTAAAACAAGTAAGATAAGGTTGTCATTCAGGAATGTATTTGTATGTGGTAAAATATTACCACTTTCCTCCTTCATCCTTTGTCTTTGGGATTTAGTGTTTTCCAAACTGATAGTTTCACTCTAACCTCTAAGTTTTTTACCTACAGTGTGATGGACAGTATATTCCTCTGCCCAGTCTGCAAGGAATAGCAGTATTGAACATCCCCAGCTATGCTGGAGGCACTAACTTCTGGGGTGGAACTAAAGAGGATGATGTAAGTATTTCTGCTCCTACTGGCTGCTTACATTCCTTGGCTTATGGCCTCTTCTCCATTATCAAATCCAACAAAGCAGGCTGAGTCCTAATGTTGCCTCACTCTGACCTTCTCTTCTTCCACCTTCAATCATAATGGACCTTTGTGATTATATTTTCTCCCTGTTCACTCTCCTCTCAGATCATTCAGCCTCTCACAGCCTCCCTACCTGGAGGTCATTCATGTAATCACATGTGCAAAGTCTATTTTGACATGTATAATAACATATTCCACACGTTCTATGAATTATGACTTTAACATTTTTGGTCCACGGAAGAGGGCATAATTCTGTCTACCAAAATTTATCTTTCTATACTTTTAATTTTCTAAGTTTTACATACATTGCTTTTTTTATTTTTAGAAATATCAGGAGAGCTCATTTGGCCAGGGAGGTTTAGAGCTATTTTTTTTTTTAGACTTAGTTTTTAATTATACTTTATTTTTTGATACTTTATATTAAAAAAGAAAAGAGACAACCTAATAAATGTAATAGTTCCAAAAGTAATAAAAGACAGGGTACAAATAATTAAATTATATGTAACAATAAAAATGGGAAATGTTACTATAATCTTGCTTTGAAGAGTCACATTGACTGTGACTTTGATTTGAGGCTTATGATATGATGGTCCCCATTCCCATTTTGTCAATATTTTTCCATAAGAAAGCAGGACTTAAAGTATAAAGTAAATTGGAAAGTACTTGTAGTTTTCATTATATCAGTATATTTCAGTCCTTTTGAAATATAAAAGTCAGTAGGTTGTCAGTACAATATTTTGTCTTAAATATTTTCAAGGGAGAAAATGAGTGAGATTAAGGTAAATAAAACTTGAATATCTACTAAGTAGTCAGATAATGTTCTGAGAGCTTCACCTTCATTATTTAATTCCCACAATTTTTATCGAAATTTTACCAATGAAGAAACTGATATAAAGTTCACACTGTAAATAGCAGATATTGGCTTTTAAACCAACAAATCTGATAACAAAAATGTTAAGAAATCATCAGTGTTTACATATATTCACCCTAATATTTTCAGTCAAAATTTAAATTTACTACTTTATAGTGAATGCTATTTTCAGAAACAACTATTTATTATGTAATAAAAGAATAAAAGGGACGAAGTAGTAGTTTAGATTGATTTTTGTGAAGTGTATGCAGTATCAAAGCAAAGTAAGATTTTTGTTCTCTGACTTTTCTGTTTCCATGTTGTCAAATGCTCTAAAGTTTTTGATTATGAGATAAAATACATTACGCATGCTGTAACAAACACATACTGCTTAGAACACTTTGAAAGATTTCCCTTAGAACATATCAAATGAATGAATGGTGATTTGTACATTCATTAGCTTTAACATGAAATCTGTTTCACCTTTTGAGTCCTAAAATTATGTATTTCATTTTACTAAGACATCTGAGTAATGTCTGAGTAGTTATTCAATACACTGTATACCAAGGCGAATTATTTAGAAATACAATAGTTCACTACTCCAAAGAGTGCTTAATGCGAGATGTGAACATTATATCCACATGAATTTTTAAAGCCATTTTTATTATTTTTGCCTACTTTAAAACACATTCAGTGATATATTTTGTCCTTGGACTATGACTCCCTATATTTATTTACTTTGCTGCTTGCTGTATTTATGTTTTTGTAAAAAAAATATGTGTTACAAAGTTTACAGTGCTTACTTATTGGTTAACTTTATTAGTGGAAGTATAAAGTAGTTTTTCCTTACAGATATTTGCTGCACCATCATTTGATGACAAAATCCTGGAAGTTGTTGCAATATTTGATAGTGTGCAAATGGCAGTTTCAAGGGTCATTAAACTTCAGCATCATCGAATAGCCCAGGTTTGTTTTTCTAATCAAACCTGACTTCACTACGTGGGCGTCTGGCGGTGGAGGGAAGCCAACCCAAATGACCCCTGCACTGTATGTCCATCCATAAATTACTGACTTGCTTTTCATGTCAGTTGTTACTACTATATCATCCTAAGTGGAAAAGCATAACATTCCATTCCACAAAAGACTAAACGTCAAGTTTGAATGTAGATTGTCAATTTCTCAAGATTATCTTGTGTTCTAAAATATCTTCTTTTATTTCAGTGCCGTACAGTAAAAATCACCATATTTGGTGATGAGGGAGTCCCAGTGCAGGTAGATGGTGAAGCATGGGTTCAGCCTCCAGGGATCATCAAAATTGTACACAAGAACAGAGCTCAGATGCTCACAAGGGACAGGGTATGTAACACAAATATTCCTCTAGATTGTTAATCCAGCCTTTCAGTGTTTTTTAGTTGTTCATGAAAAATAGAAACAAAGGAAAATATTTCATTTGTCTCTTAAATGTGATTTTAAGTCACTATAGTTTAATTATTTTATTTCTTATTACTTGTTCAGGTTTACAGAAAAGAAATTGAGCAGAAAATGCAGAGCATTCTAATATTGTTCTCACATAGTTCTTCACTCACCCCTTACAAACACATAAATTTCACTATTATTAACATCTTGTGTTAGTGTGATACATTATCGTAGTTAATAAACCAATATTGATACATTTCATTAGCTAAAGTCCTTAGTTTGCATTAGCCTTTGTGTTGTGTTTTCTAAAGTTTGACAAATATGTAATCATATACAGCCACCATTGTAGTTTCATACAGAGTAACTTCACAGACCTAAAAATTCTTGTTATGTACCTAGCCAGTATTCTCTTTCTCTTAACACAACTCCTGACAATACCATTCTTTTCACTGTGCCCATATTTTTACTTTTTCCAGAACATAATATTTTTAATTAGGGTCATACCCATAACAAATAAGACTGCCAATCATTATTTTATCTATTACGTAATACTAAAGATGAAGCATAAATTGAAGCTTTTGTTTTTAAAATTTCATTGATATATTTATTATCATCAATATTCCACTAGCTAGCTTAAAAACGTCTTTTTTTCTACTTATGACTTATTTGATGAGTTGTTAACTTTTAGGGAAAATGCATTAGTAGTTTCAAAGTCAAGCATATCATCAGTCTATAAATACATGTTTATTTGGGCTTCATAATAGTAAACTAACAATTCACTGCAATGCTGATTTTAAACAGGCTTTTGAAAGCACTTTAAAATCTTGGGAAGATAAACAGAAGTGTGATTCTGGTAAACCGGTTCTTCGAACCCATTTGTACATCCAACACGCTGTTGACTTGGCAACAGAAGAGGTGTCTCAGATGCAGCTATGCTCGCAGGCTGCAGAGGAACTCATTACCAGGTAGGGCCTTGGCACAATGAGAACTCTGGTCTTGACCAATTTTTTTTTTTTAAGTATTCAAACTAAAATATTGTAGTATTAAAAACTAAATTGCTTGGAGTATCTAAAAGAAATGCATTTACCCATCTTCATTTGCTCCTTCATTTATATTTCCGGAATCACTGCACTCCATCACCAGCTTCTCTCCAGCATACATGTCCACACGCCTGTGTTCTCTACAGAACAGATTCTGTACTTCCTGGGACCCCATGAACTTAGCCTACCACAGTCTTTCTATTATTGTCTACACCCCAGTCTATACACAGGTTTTATACTACATGATTTATTTAAATGTGGCCTTATAATTATTAGTTGAAAGTTTACACAATGTAGAAAGAAATATAAAAATTAACCATGCTCCCAAAGTGGGTGGGAAAGTCTAAGAATCTCTCTCCAAAAGACATATCACAGAGATTGCAAGAGGTTAATTTTAGTCCACAGAAAGGGAAGAGATTTTTTTAAAAACCTTTGAGTGTAAAACATAAAAATCACTCTTATATGAGCAACTTTCTTTTATCTCCTCTTCACCTAGATATTCCCTACCAATGGGAATAGTAAGTCACCTCACCAGGTGTCCAGGTAGGTGAGATCCACCATGTAAAGTAGATTAGATCACGACATATTTAATGGTCTGTGAGTAGAAGCCATTGTATTCTCTCCCCACCTCCTCTCGTCACTGACAGAACTGTTGAAAGAGAAAAGAAGGAAATCAAAGCTCAGTGCTACCAAGGGCACACTTACTCCCGTTCTCCTCCCTTTTACTGGCCACCTGCTCCTCCTCTCTCTTTACTTATCTCCCTCTTTAAATATTTAAGATACCCAAGATCTATTAGATATTTAGAGACAAAAGAGAAAAGGAATACACTTTCTACTGCCGGAAACCAACATTCAGAATTAGAATTAAGGAAAATGAACAACCATTTACTGAGTACATGGGAAGAAAAGTAAATGAAAATGAAGGTTAAGTCAACTAAGGATGTTATTGCACATCTCAGGCTCCTGCCCACAGAGATAATTAAGTATAAATGTGTCTTTTGTAGATTCTGCAAAAAAACTTTTACAGACTCCAATTTAGACTGGATTTATTTTATTTTTTACCTGTTGTATTTAAGAATATTTCACAGTAAGTGTCTGTAAGGTGTACCTCTGTTGGTTTGAGACAATAAGACATAATCAAGCTAATTAACTCATGGAAAACAGTATCACAATTTTTCCAAAGTTAAAACTATACCCACACTATTTTCTTGAAACTAAAATATAATCCCTTGAGCTCAAAATGTAGTCTCTTAAGTCATCATCATGTTAGCAAACCAAATAACTTTATCCAAAAAAAAAATGAAGGGGAGTTTGGCCAGGCTTGCTTTTGATCAACCTACTTTGATTCCTCATTTGAGTATTTTAATTTTGCAAAAGTTGAAAAGCAAATTCACTTGTCAGTTTGAAAATTCTTTCACTGTTCCACAAATAATTTTGTATCTCTTCTGTGTGCCAGCCACCACAATTGCCAGCGGGCATTCCAACATGACTGTGTGTCATCTCTCTTCTTAATTTACTCTTAGAGTAATAGAAGGGGAAAGTGTAGCCTGTTACAAGGCTCAAAGCAGGTGATGTGGACACAAAAAGAAGGCTAGAGGCACGAAGAGAGGGCTGCCTGGAGGAAGCTGCCTCTCAGTCAAGTCTTAAGGGAGTAAGTGAAGAAACTTAGTATAGGCGCCAACGTGGCCAGAGACACAGTGGCATGTCAGTGTATAGTATTTTCAGGAAAACTCAGGAAATTTGGGGTGGCTGAAATATTGACATGGGGTATGCACAAAGATAGTAAATGTGGATGGAGGGTGTGGAGGGGCCTATTCTTATCCCAAAATTGCTGAAAGCAATGTAGATCATTTTCTGCAGGACAGGAAAACTGGGACCAGGTGAACACTGTCTAAAAAAGTCTTAATAGGTAATGATGGATCGATATAGTAGGGATGGAAAGGAAATGAGAGATTTAAAATAAGTAAGGATCTAAAATTGGTGTGTAGAAATGAATTAGGGGACAGGATGACCCTCAGATTTCTAGTGAATAGATTGCAGTGCCTTTGTTAGAACCACAATGTTCCTGTAGAGGAATAGGTTTTGAGAGGGAAAATGATGGATTCCATATCGAACTTACAGGATTTTAATTACATTAGACATATCCAGAGGGAAATTTGGTAGGCAGTTGAAAATGTTGCTCTGAAGCTGATCTTCACTTTCGCTCTTTCTTTGAAAATTAAGATGGCATTTACCCATCTCTGTTCTCCTTATAAATAATCTATTCTTCATGGATTCCTCAAAGTTACTGGTAAGAGTGCTAAAGTGACATTTACAGTTTCCTTTTGACTTGGATAACAGTTTGTGATCCTGAAAATTACAAACTTTTCCTTTACTCTTGATTTAGCTCTTTATATATTATATATATATATATATATATATATATATGTAGATGTATACACACACACACATATATCTGCTCTTGTTCTGCCCTTTCCAGGTTGAAGGTAATTTTCCTTGAAGATGCCAGAAGAAAAAAGCATTTGAGTAGTCTTGCTTTATTGTTCATTTGCAACCCTTGTGTTATTTTCTAACTATTAGTGGATATTTTCTCCTTTCTCCTATTTGGCGTTAATGCCTCACAGGACTTTCACGTCTTTCCAAGACTATTCTTGAAAGTTGAAAAAATTCCAGAGGACTGTGATACACCAGGATTTTGAGTTGAAGACATAGATTCAAATCCTGGTTCTGTCTTTCATTAGTTTTGTGCTCATACTAAATCTCTCTTCTGCCTCAGTGTTCTCATCTGTAAAGTGGAGATAATTAATTATAGCTACCCTTTTAAGATTATGAAAACAACTAATGTTTATACAGTACTCATAAAAGGGTGGTAAATATGGCCATGCCCCTCCCCTAACCTCTTACATTTGTTCATAGTTTCTGTGAATAAAAAATAAGTTCTACTCTTTACACTTGGGACCTCTCTCACTTTTCCAAAGCTACTGCTGAATGAAGTGTTACATCCTAAGTATCACTTCAATGTTTTTTTCTGATTCTAAGCCAATAATTTTTTTTTCCCCATTTCAGCTGCAATTCCCATGGGCTTCCCACCACTAATTCACCCGTGTGCCATCACTATAGTCCAGTGCACTTCCCCCTACCCCATTTTGATCCCATTCCCCACTTCACCCCTGTAAAATGTCTCTGGATTACAGTTGTTCATTATTATTATTCCTTCCCGCCCCCCATTCTTTATGCTCCTGCTTTGAGTGAAACCATCCAGTATTTTTCTTTTTCTTTCTGGCTTATTCCACTAAGCATGATCCCTTCCAGCTCCATCCATGTTGCTGCAAAAGGCATGACTAAGCCAATCATTTTTAACGTGAAAGCTTGTGATTTAGTATTCTATGTTGCAGTTGAATTTGAGTTTTATAAACGTAAACTGTACCGTTCATAAATGAGGAGCAATTGAGAAAAAAATCCCTTTATGATCTTGTTTTACTTTATTCTACCACTTCTGCACTTTAGAGTAATCAGCAATGCTTAAAAAGTTTCTTTTGTTTCACGTTTGCTTTTAGAATTTGTGACGCGGCTACCATTCACTGTCTTTTGGAGCAGGAGCTGGCCCACGCCGTGAACGCGTGCTCCCACGCGCTGAATAAAGCGAACCCACAGACCCCAGAGGTGAGCGGTAATGGTAATTCTCATCTACAGATATTTTTGAAATCACACCTTATTTGGATACTGAAAAATATGCCATGCCCAATGAAAGAATATTATGTCTTTGCCATCAGCTTTTAGTAAATGTGTGGCCAAATTTTTCCTTACTTTCCATTTCCTACCATTTTTCCATTATGTCTTTTAAGTTCTTTTCACTTTTTGTTGTCTTTTTCACTTTCAATCACTGGTCACCTTGCTGGTTTCCTTCTACTCTTTTTTTTTTTTTTTAAAGATTTATTTATTTATTCGTACAGAACTGGGTACAGGCCAGAGATGCAGAGGGTGAGAGGATTCACCAGAGACAGAGCGGGGAGCAGAATAGGCAGATCAACGAAGTACACTGCTGAGGGGAGCAGCGGGCGGGTCAGGAGAGGTCTGCCACGCCATGTGGATCTCCTCTGGGGCAGGCGGGAATCGAACTCATGCGGAAGTGGCTTTAGCTTCTTAGTGCAGTGCTTTAACTCACTGCGCCACCAGGGAGGGCCTCCTTATACTCTTTTAACTCCTACCATTTCTCCTTTAACTACCTTGACTTTATCCCCTCTATATGGGACAAGCCTTGATATCATATATTTTATTAGAGATGTTATTTGCTTTTGAAATTTTTGCCCTGAAATTATCCTTGCTTCATTTTATTTTTTAAGTTTTTAAGTTAGTAAATTTTTTAACATAGAAAGTAATAACAGAACAGATAGACTATAATGCCCTGAAATGTGTCTAGTGTCATAACGAAACCTAATGGCATTCTTTGTTCTTCTTCTAGTGATTCAGTTTCAGTTATCTAAGTTAATGTACAATTAAATGCTACTCCCTGAAATGGAAAATCTAAGAATAAACTATCTGAGTAGAACCACAGAGAGTGAAAGAGCAGGTAGACCTAATTATATTCAGGTCTTTTGAGAAATAATTTTCTTCGACTTAACTTTTCTTTGACTATAAATATGCCATTGCTAGCATATATATACTTGAAGGTAGGAGATGTGACTCAAGTATTCACAATAGTCAGTGCATTCTTTTGATTCTGTGGCACGAGAATTCGAAGACATAATCATGCTAACAAATTTTAGAGTTATTATAGATTTTTGGTAGAGTTTTGAACAATGACTTGGATAGACATTTAAATTGTGCGAATAAAATTTATTTACTTATGAATAAATGAATCCTGATTTAATACAGAACTTCTTGTCCTTGGTCTTTTTTCTAGAGTCTTACAAGAGACACTGCCACTGAAATAGTCATCAATGTGAAGGCCTTGTATAATGAAACGGAATCCTTACTAGTCGGCAGAGTTCCTTTGGTAAGGAAGAGAAATGAATGATAACATTACAGTGATGAAATAAATCTATCAGTCTTACCTTCATCAGGAAACATGTATTCGTTAGATTTGAATGCCACAGAAGCCTTCTGGCTTCCCTCTCTTCATCTAGCTTTTGCCTCCAGGAAAATATATGGCCAAACTGGAAGTTATGAATCAGGCTAACAAGTGGAGGAGAGAGTTCCCCCACACATGCCATCATGTTTTTATGAAATCTCCAGCCATCATTTTAGAGACTGGAACCCCTAATAAACTTTCCTTACACACTCATTAACTTGTCGTGGAATAATAGGGGAAATCATCTTGAAATATGATTGATAATGTTGTGCTCTAGGTTTCTTAAAAGGTGTTATTTCCAGAATTTGTTTCAAGCACTAAATTTCAAGAACTAGCTATATCCTTGAATTCACTCAGATGGGTGTTAGAAATCAAGTCGAATCTAGGCATAGTCCACAGGCCTGAGGTCTAAGAGCTAGAAGCTCATAGATGTCTTGATTTACCCAGAATCTTTGCCTTGTCAACCTTCCCTCACATTGTCAGGTGTTCCAGTATAGAGGATCTTTCGCCACCTTGTGGTTAGATTGTGGATTCTTCACACATGCTGTTGTGACTGTAGAAAGCTTAGTGCCTTAGATGTTGTTTTTTCTTTCTTGTAACAGTTTTGAGTAATTGATAAGTGATGCTCTTATAACATTTCTGTTGACTGTAATTTTACCTCTTGCTTGATAAAAATATACATCTAATTAGTGATAGTAAAAGTCATCACACCTAGCACAGTGGGAGAAGGGAAGGTGTGTCACAATAGAGTCACTAATAAGTGGCTCTGGTTGGAATTTTTGTTTGATTGGATTCCAGAAATTCCCCCCTTGGAGCATCTTTTGCTCTGAGAAGAAAATGTAGATCAAAGTTTAAGTTCATGTTACCCATTCCTCACCCACCCCCAGAGGAAAGTGATTGAAACTTCCTTGCATCAAGATCCCTGCTTTGACCATTAAAAAAAAAAACTTTTAGGAGGAAACATTCATTTTCTCTCTTGATAAAAATCAATGGGAATATTTTCTTGGCTATTCTTGGTAGTTGGTTATTAGAATCCTTGTGCTGTCCTGTAAGTCTTGTAGAAAATCCAGTGAGCTGTGACATTGATTCCGGTAGAGGAATATAGGAAATACACATTTTTATTTTATTTGAAACACTTTTAAGATCATTTCTAAATGATGGCAACTAGACATGTAACTAATTCTGTTACAGTTCTTTACACGCATGGTGTCCACTAAGTGATAATTGATTAATATTTGTCAGTTATATTAGTATAAATGGACCCCTCTCCACTTTTAATTCTTCCATCATTATCAAATATGGATGTTTTAGTCAAAATGTGTCAAAATTGTGACAATAGTGATAGCACAATACAGAGTCAATATTTGAGAGCACCTAAATTTGCTCTTTGTTTTGCTGCCACAATATCAGTTTTCATAACACATATTCCTAGATTAAAAGGAAAGTGGTGAATTTTACATGGCAGAGTACAGAAGCTCCATATTTTTATTCATTGCTAGATAGGGTAGCTACAGTGAATAATACGGGGGGGGGGGGAAATAATGTCCATAACAAATAACAGTAACTTTCTGAAATTTCTGAAATTTCATTTTCAAATTCTGTGAAACTATATGTGAGTTCTTTTTTTAAAAAAGATTTATTTATTAATTTATACAGAACTGTGGTACAGGCCAGAGATTCGGAAGGTGAGAGGGTCCACCAGGGACAGAGTGGGGAGCAGAACAGGCAGATCGACGAAGTACACTGCTGAGGGAGCAGCAGGCGGGCAGGAGAGGTCTTGCCACGCCATGTGGTCACCTCCAGGGCAGGCGGGGATTGAACTCATGCGGAAGTGGCTTAAGCTTCTTAGTGCAGTGCTTTAACCCGCTGCGCCACCAGGGAGGGCGCAATTTTAACATCATTCATAAAAGTTTTGACTAGTTGGGTGATACCTTAGAAATAATCTAGACACAATCTGTACATACTTAATGAGCAGGGAACGATGACTGCTGACATCAATTAAACTTTTGGTTGCAAGGATCATTAATAGCAAGGCCTGGATTACAATCCAGTCACCTTCCTGCTAGTTCTATACCTAAGTGTTTGTTTCACCTTTTTATTCATTAATTAAACTTGTCCTTGCTTTTCAGGAACTGTCTCAAGTGGATTAGTGTCGATAAGAGATGACCAGTTAAATTCTCATTAACACTTTCATCCCCCATCTAGGCCATCCATATAAATGTGCCCCAACCCCTCCTATCAGATCACAAACCATTTAGCTTTGTCCTGAACTTCACAGTTTTTCTTCCGAGTTCATGCTTTTTTTTCCTTCTCTTAAACCTACTATGTTATCTCTCTAAAGAGTTTTATGCCAACGTTTTATTTTTATATGACATGGTTTTGACCCATGTTTAAAATACTATTACTTATTCACATAGTGTCTAATGAAAATCAGAAGGATTCTTTGACACAAATGAGTAGAATAATGAGATTACTCACTAATGTAAGCGGGCAGAATGGGTGTGGATGCTTCAAGAAAGAAGGGAAGGATGAACAAGAGTGAGGGAGGTAGGGGAAAGAAGGGAGGAACTTACATGGAAAAAAACCAAAAGCAACAATTTTTCTGAGAAATGATGAAAGTTGTATGAGCTACTTTTGTCATTTTTGAGAAATAAAAATATTTTTACTTTTTAGAAGTTAACTCAATTTAAGGTTTTTTTTTTGCTGTATTTCTTTATATAAAAAGAAAACAACCAAGTTTGATAAAAGATGAGATGTTCACAGTCAAAATAATTTATTCTAGTTAAGGTTTGTCACTGAACCTGCTTTATTGGTCTTTTGTTGTTGTTTTTTAAATCTGCTGGTAAATAGCAGTTGGAATCGCCACACGAAGAGCGGGTATCTAATGCCTTACATTCTGTGGAGGTGGAGTTACAGAAACTAACAGAGATCCCTTGGCTTTATTATATTTTACACCCAAATGAGGATGAGGTATGTAAAGTTCAGTCTCTTTCTTTCTTGATGTCTATTTTATGATTCTTTGTAGAATCTGAGCGTATCTTTTGAAAAAACAGATAAAAGAATAAACCATGTCTACTATTTTCAAATGCCCGGTTCTTGAATGAGTGAGAAGCTTCAGCGCGAACAAAGGCATTCTACAGGAATTAGTATATTTTTAGTGGTGTGAAATATTATAAACTTCTTTTTTAAGATTTATTTAGTTATGCATACAGAACTGGGCTACAAGCCAGAGGTGCAGGTGCGGTGAGAGCCTTCACCAGAGACAAAGTAGGCAAATCGATGAAGTACACTGCTGAGGGGAGCAGCAGGCGGGTCGGAGAGGTCTGCTACACCATGTGGGTCACCTCCAGGGTGGGCGATCCAACTCGCACTGAAGTGGCTGAGGCCAGCTTGCAGTGCTGCATCCTAACCTGTGCCACCAGGGAGGGCCCTACAAACTTTTTTTTTTAAGAAGTTAGCATTGTTCAACAATATCATATTTATAACCTATTTCTATGTTAGTTCTAATACCAGAGAGTGATTTTCTTCTTTGAGTACTCTGAGAAAATGTTTTCCTTGCTCATCTCAACAGGAGCCTCCTATGGATTGCACCAAGAGAAACAACAGGAGCACAGTATTTCGCATAGTGCCAAAATTTAAAAAGGAAAAGGCTCAGAAGCAGAAGACAAGTTCCCAGTCTGGTAGGTGGGCCATGCCAGGAGGGGAGTGTAACATTATGGGCAAACTATATTATTAAATGATGTTGCTTAGGTGCTGCAAGACCCTGAAATCACTAGCTAGAGATCATTGCCTAAAATTGTAATAGATGCCACGGATATTACACTATAAAATGGCCCAAAGGGTGAATTTTATTTTATATTCACCTTATAATAACTTGAAAAACTGTTCCTAACGTATGTCCAGGTGATAGCAGGGAGCTGCAGTTTCGAAGCACAGGAGGGAACCAGGTAGTCTTGGCGGCTTTGACCAGGGAGGGTGGCAGTGCCTCTTTACATGGCAGTTCAAGGCATCAGCACATAACTTGTTGTTCTTCTTCTTGGGTGTTCAAAATCAGGATTATTTTGATAAAAGGAACATACAAATTTTCATTTATTCCTTTAACTTGCTAAATGAATTACTCTGTCGCCTGTTTTAAAGATGTGTGTCATTATTTTCAACCCCTCAATGACAATCCAATGTGGCATTTATGTTCTTAAGCAAAGATTAGGTCCCCTCTTTAATGTTGTCTTTCTAGTCCCCTTTCTAACTTTCTCTAGAAATTAATTTAATGCTGTTCTAATGCAAAAGCACCTTCAAGTTTTGTGTATATTATGGCAGAATCAGTTCACTTTATACACCTTTTCTGTTAGCTTTCTCATTCAAATGTGATATATGGCTTTATTTGGGACAATCATAGAGCAGCTATGAAAGGCATCTTAAAACCAAATATTGTAAATAAATAGGCCTTTATTAAACTGATGTGCAATAAATATAAGGGAATGATTATATATACTGACAAATAAGAACCCACCTTAGCAGAACTAAGGCTTTAAATGATGTTCAATTGATTTATCAACATGTTTTACTATACTTACCAATAATTATCAATGGTATTAGAATCAAATAAAGCAATGTATGAAATCAGCAAAACTTAAAACAGAAAAATTTGCATGCCTTATCAGATTTTAAGTACAATTAGCATTTGTAGCACATTTCTCACTCTAACTAGTTTCATAGATGGCTTATGAAAACCATTAACACGTATCTAGACCTTGCACTACAGATCAAATCATGAGGAAAACATTGTTATATGTATTATGTGGTTTGGGTAGTTTCAAGGAGGACATTGAATTAAAGCTAATGGCTCGGGTACACAGCTGTGAATGTCTTTGTGTAGTCAGATCACCTTGTTGAATGATGACCAAAATCTGCATGGAAAAATGGAATTATAGTTTTGTTGTTAACCTTTTCCTTTGCAAGCACTGCTGCTGCTATACTCTGGTTTGCATCTTCTTTGGCCAACCTTTGCTTTGTAATGCATTGAGCATGTAGAAATTAAGGGGGTTTTGCTCTTTGGTAGTTCAGAAATGGGGCACAGAGGAAGTTGCTGCTTGGCTGGATCTGCTCAATTTGGGAGAATACAAAGAAATCTTCATTCGTCATGACATCAGAGGGGCAGAACTTTTGCATCTGGAAAGGCGAGATCTTAAGGTATTTCTTTTGTGCTACTCTTCTGCTGTTGAAAATTTTCTTGCAAAATGAACCCTTTCTCTTGCACCTCTGCTGTTATGTGCTTGTAGCTTGGCTGATGTTATGCAAACATGTAGTAATCTAATCTGCATTGCTTGTGGTCTGACTTCCTTGTATGCTTTTAAAACAAGACCATCAACAATATTTTCTTGTCAAAATCATTCTCCACCTATCACAGCTAAAGCTCAGCATGGTTTCTTTTTGCCTTCATTTGTATGGCTGTTCCAGTGCTAATATTTCTAAATGGATCCATGTTTTCATAAACTCATTTTATTGGATCAGCATGAAAGGTAATAATTATTGATGGCAATTAATGAAACAAATCTAAAATAGATTAACAACTAAAAATTAGTTCAAAATCAGACCCGTCTACTATCTGGAACTAGATAGTAGTTAAGTATTTACTTAGAATCGCAGGATTTGTTGTATTTCTAAATTGACCTTTCATTGGTCATATGAACACCTAGACCAACAAATACAAATTTCATTTCTATGACTGTTAAGATAATATTGTTCTCAAAAGAAATGCATTGTTTCTTTAATCAATGAAGTCAACATTACAACTTGCTTTTGCTAGAAAGCAACTCATTAGTTATGATAGGAAAAGAAAGCCATTAATTCCTGATCTGCAACAATTCTGTTTTAACCTTTGGGTGGAGACTCAGTGTCGAAATGATCAAAGTAGTCTAGCCTGTCCCAGAGCAAGGAATGGAATTTTATCCTGTTATATTTTGTAATCACAAGATGCCATTTTAGAATTCCAGGTGGACTGAGATGCAGTAACAAAGCCTTCAATAGTTGTTGCAGAAATCCCTTGTCTATAGACCAAGTTCTAACATGCATAGAATTATGATTCAGTTAAATGCGTAACAAATTTATAAACTGTTGTGACTTTATGTTAGCAGGAATGTTTGAATAGATAATGAGTATTAAGTATGTATACTTGACACAGTTATAGTTTCAGCACATCAAAAAGTGAATGCCACTTATACCTAAACATTTATAATAAAAATTATAGATTAATTATCTTAGTTGAAAGTCCCATATCTGAAATATAGTAAAATAATCAGCATTAGAATTTTTATAGCAAAGGTTGACTTCAAAACATAAAATGAGTGCACTAAAAAAGTAAATGGAATAGGTCATTATATCTAATATATTTATATAGCTTTTAATATCCTTAGACAGCAAAATTTATTAAATAGCTACATCTATTTATGCCAGTTTCTCAATATATTATGCCAGCTTTTCTTACGTGTTATCTCCCCTCTGGAAGTTTGCATTTCATTTACCATGACTAAGCACATATTTAAAGAAAACAATGTGGGTATGTGTGCATTTACGTGTGTGTGCTCATTTACACACAGTGAGTGAAACAAATACAGAATGAAAATACAAAGCTCATGTATATACTAATTTACAGTTAGAGTGATATATCCTGACTGGTAAGAAGAATAACAATGCGGAGAAGATGGTTAAGAATAGTTTTAGTATACACTTTCTGTTTAGCTTTTCATGGGATTTTTTTTGTCCTATTCTAAAACAGTGTGGAAGAGAGGCAAAGGAAAATAATTTTATAGGCAGAGTCTTATGTAATACAAAATCACGAAGCTGGAAAATGAACTTGTCTTGTGTAATTGTAACTGTCAGGGAATAGGTGGGATTACCTACTTCTAGATGATCTCCATTCCCACTGCTTCCAGTATTGTCTATGAATATACCAAGGATTCACAAGTCTCTGTCTCCAACACTCACCCCATTTGTCAATGTGGTATTTTATCAGCCTTGCTATTTGATATTTGCCGATCACACAGATATCAATCTCAATATGTCTAAAAAGGAACTTTTGATCTTCTACCCACCTCCATTCTGCCCCTTATAAGCTCCATGTCTTAGTATATCATTCTTCTCTCTCCAGGTGCTTGAGCCAGAGAAACCAAAGGTCTTTGTTGACATCTTCCTTTTCCCTCTCATTTTCTACCTAAAGCATCAAGCCTATCACCAAATCACCCACCCATGTCTATTTATCTGCTTCCCGCAATCCTCCATGCTAGTGACATATGCAAGGTCAGCAGCTTCTTGCTGACTTCACTGCACTCTTATATCTATCTGCAGGCCCTTAACCTCATTGTAACTGATGATATTTTAACATCACTTTTCTGCTTAAAGCCACTCAGTGGCTTCTAACTGCTATTAGAACAAAATTCACACTTTTATGAGACCTATGAGGAAGGTTCTGCTTATTTATTCAAATTGTTTCAAGGTCACTGGCCTGTACTTGGCCTTATTTCATTTGTTTAAAAATGTTAAACTTTTTCTCATCTTAGAGACCTTTGCTTTTATAGTATACTTCCCCCACTACCTGTCACCTGTCTGTCTCCTGTTCAAATCTTGTCTCCTGTGTGTCTTCCTTATGACCAAAACCATTAGAGATAGCAATGCCACACTCTAAAGATGGGAATAGGAGAAATATATATATATAGTGTGTGTGTAGTTTGACAACAGATGGATTGATGGCAATATTTCCCATTTGGGAAGACAGTAGAAGAAAGTGAAGGACATCAAAGAAAATGGTAAAAACAGCAATTTTTGTTTGGTTGGCCTTTGTTTCCACTTGGAAAGTTGTGGATGTGTGGCTAGAATGATAACTAAATAAATTGAATATCAAAACATACTTCTGAAAAGATAGGCCAATCCATTCAAAGCATGAGTAATAAGGGACATGATAAAATTAAGAAAGGGTAACCAATGTCCTGGCATGGCTTCATCACAGCCTAACTCCTAGAATACGTGGAAGTATTAAGTGCAAACGGAAGGAAAATAGAGCTAAGGGTTACCATAACTCTAAGGAAACATGCAGCTCATTGTACCAAAATAGTGATTCTGAGTAGAGTTTGCCTCACCCAGAGAAGCTTGAACAAGGAGCTGTGGATGCTGTGGCCAGATGAACGATGTTCTCTCTAAGATGTAGCAGCCACTCAGTGTGCTGTTTTACCGAGGGGATGCAAGGCTGGGCCCCCATCTCCATGATCTGTGACTTGGGCAAGTAAATAAATGTCTCCCAAGTTTTAGCTGATTTCTTTTTTAAAAATTTTATTCTTGAGGATACAGTGTGCAGATGACCTTAAAAAGCATTTAAAATAGCGCCTCCCCAGTGGTGCAGGAGTTAAAAGTCTCAGTGCTCCCATACTATTGCCAGCCACTTGGGTTTGCTCCTCTCACTGAGGCTTCTCCAGTTTCTTCCTGTTGCTCCCCTCAGCAGTGTATTTCAGCACATCTGCCTGTTCTGCTCCCCACTTTGTCTCTGGTAGGTCCTTGGACCTTCCCACACCTCTGGTCTACACCTCCCATCTTATATGCATAAATGAATAAAAATCTTTTAAAAATAGTAGTTAATAGGAATTTTCTTTCTTTCTTTCTCTCTTTTTTTTAAGATTTATTTATGCATCCAGAGCTGGGGTACAGGCCAGAGGTGCAGGGGCAGTGAGAGGATTCACCAGAAACAGAGTGGGCAACAGAACAGGCAGATCGACGAAGTACACTGCTGAGGGGAGCAGTGGGCCAGTCAGGAGACGTCTGCCAAGCCATGTGGGTCACCTCCGGGGCAGGGATTGAACTCATGCTGAAGTGGCTTGAGCTTCTTAGTGCTGCACTTTAACCTGCTGCACCACCAGGGAGGGCCCGGAATTTTATTTCTTAGTCTACCGTGTTACCTGAAGTACAAAGAATATTTAAATGTTTTACTGAAGTCAAGGACTCTAAAGTGCAATTAGAAAAATGCATTTGCATTCCAAAGTTAGATAAAGGGCTCTGGCATCTTCCAGGATTGGGCTTGTTTTAAAGCTTATTTTAACACAAACTCAGGAGATGTATAGTTCCTTTAAGATTAATTGTGCACAACCTCTATCATATGAGAAGATATTTTTCCAGGTTAGTTAAATTTATAAAAATATTACCCTGAAATTATATCAAATGAGTACTGACTCTGAGAAAAGTATCTTGCAGAAGGATTTAGAATCTTGGTAGCATAGCTACTAAAAAAATTTAAAGAGCCCGTAAAGAACATGGAGAGAAGGGGAGGAAGAAGCAGGGAGAGAGAAGTGGGTGGGTGTGTGGACTTAAAACAATTTTAACTATTTCACTTAAACATTTTAAAATAGAGAAACCAAGGGTCAGGAAAATGATAAAACTTGCAAGTTGACCATAGATCTGAGGCCTACACAAGGGAAAGGAAAAGAGAAGGGTCAAAAGAAGAAAGGGGAGATCGGAAAGGACCATGGTGCTATGGTGGTGTTAAAACCATGGAAACTACACAAGAGTGGAGAAATCAAGCACTGTTCAAAAATGAAGAATGACATAAGAACATAAGCAAATTTTTAAAGTAAATAAATTGCAGAAAAATAAAAATAAAAGTTTCAAATAAACTGTGCTCTTAATTTACAAAATAAAATGACCATTTGTAATCTATCTTCTTTGGTATCTTAGAGTCCTATTTTCTGGACTGCTTTGGAAGTCATCTTATTACTAATTTTCAAATGTTTCAGACTATTTTGAAAGGGAGCTATTTGACATCAGTTATAAGCAAACTGATGTCCATCATATTAAAGAAGTTACAGGATTTGGAACTAGAAAGATTTTTTCATTACAGATTTAGGTAACAAGCACTGATATCTTTCTCTAGGACTTTAAAGAAAGATATCCTTTCCTTTAAGCTTACTCTTTTAGCACGCACTAAGGAAATGTAGTTGCCTTAAGACTGATTATGGATGACCTGGTGTCTTTGGCAATTTTTAACCCTTTTAATTTTTAAGATAGGAAATGTTATAGCTATCTTGGGTTTCATCCATTCCTGTAAAAAGTGTTTATTTGCCAACAGTCTGCTATGAGCTGTATGTACATTCTGCCACCATCATTGGTTTCTGAAAATTAAATATTTTCGTATATATCCCTGATAAGAATATCGTTCACTAAAGAACAAGGAGAGTTCTGAGGGAAAGGAGCCAAAAGTGGAGGAAAAGCATCAGCCCATAGATACCCGTGTTTAGGTAACTTCATATACACATACATTACGAAGTGTAAACAATATTCACGTATTTCAAACTAAAACTATAAGAAGCAACTATAAAGCCATTGACATCCCAAATGTAAGGAGTGGTGCCTTCCCTTAGATCAGCCCTACTTTGAAGTTCAATGTTTTATCAAGGAAATATATTGTTGCCTAGAAATGAGTGAGGATGCCCTGTTGTCGTGTCATTTTCTTCAGAACCCTCTAAGGATCTGTATGTCCTTTACATGGAAAAGAAAAAGAATAAACTAAATTAATTTTCACTCTTGAAGAACTGCCATTGTATATAACTTTTGAAGATGCTACATTTAAGAGTTTGCATAAGATGTGTTGTATTTTTAATGGGTTATTAATTTTTTTGTTTTATGCACTTTTCTGATTTTCACTGCACTGAACACTGACTATAAAATAGAATAAATGGAGCAAATGCTATGTTACTTGATAGTTAAATATCAGTTTTCTCTTGTCGATAAAAGAACCTTCCTTCCTCTCCTCCCTTCCTCTCTCTCTCTCTCTCTTTTTTCTTTTCTTTTTTAGGACCTGGGGATACCGAAGGTCGGTCATATGAAGCGAATTCTCCAGGGAATTAAGGAACTTGGAAGGAGTACTCCCCAGTCTGAGGTGTAATCACATTGGTGCTATTCCTTGGAAGAGAAATAATTGCCAGTCAATACAAAGTTCTTGGAAGCAATGGCTGACCTTGTAGTTTTCTGCCTAGAGAAGTAAGCACCTCTGAAACACCTCTATGGTTTGATTTTTTTTTGTGGGTGAAAATTTTGATTTGAATAATAGAAACTATTTTTGTGCCAAATAATTACATTCCATGAAATAATTTTCTTATTGGGCCAACTTGACATGTTCAAATATATTAGTAAAATGATAGGAGGGATCTCAGGCAATTGCCTCATCTCAAAGGTGGAACCGCAAAAGGCGTACTTTCTTTCAACTGGTCAGATGAAATATTCTTACTGTTCAGCTGCCTAAGAATATGTGGCTAAAATTTCTTAGGTTTCATTATTGGAGGCCTTGGCTTTCTCTTTAAAATCATTGGCCGGAAGGTTAAACCATAAATTGAGCTGTATTTTGAGTGTTAGATTGGTATCACATCAGATTTTTAGGGATCAGTGCTCAAAGAATGTGGTGTAGACCCTTCAAATACTATGAATGAATGCAAATCCTAATGCACGAAGTTCCTGCCTGAATTGTCTCTTTTTCTTGCATGTCACATCTAATATTATAACACTTTAACAGCTTTAAGTCAGTTTTAATGGAATTTAATTTATTACTCTCTGAGTACTTTTTTGTTGGCTAAAGGCACTTTTTCTCCTTTGATGTGGAATTTTCCACAAATATTCTGTATCTAAGATTTTGTGAACCTGTGTCTGTGCCATAATCAACAAATATCTTACCTAAGCCAATTTTATTTCAACCTGTCAAACAATGGTGTGCACATTTAAAAAAAATTCTCTGGATATTTTCATAAAATTACATGTTCTGTTGCCTATCAACAGCTGTTAGAGTTTTCTAAACCATTTTGTCTTACTTGCCTTTCCATTTTAATAATTATTTATATTCTGTTTGCACTTATATTATGGTAGACTGTTGATGTCCCAGGATTTCCCCATGTGTCAACTAAGATTTGTATACTGATTGGTCATAAAGAACCACCTACTAGCTAAAGTGACTCTTAACATGACCTTCCTAACAAAAAAAGATTTAAATTTTTTCTTAAGGGCTTTACACCACCATTATCATTTCATTTAATTCTTATATCCTATCAAATGGAGATTATTTTCCTTTTTCTAAACCACTATACTTCCGTGTAACTAATTAGGAGTCAACATTATGAGGATCCAATCTTTAAAAGCCAAAGGCATACATATCAAAAAGATCACACAAATATCTTCAGTTAAACTTTCTTTAAAAATATATACCAAAAAATTGAATTGTAATACTTGCAAATCTTCTATCATAGAGAAGTAAACATGGTGTTTACTCCGTGGTGACATAAAGTAGCCTTCTAAGTAGGTGCTCAGTAGCTGCTCATGCCCATGTATACACGCATACAGGCACAAACACGCGTGCATATATACATAAAAACATATTTATATACACACCTATATTTATATGCATAACCACACTAACGTACATGTAGTCTTGACATATACTCTCATTTATATTTTGTAGAGAATTATTTGCCAAATGTTTAAAGAGAGATATTAATGGAAGCGCCTTTAAAGTGAACTACTGTCAGTCATTTTATGCAAGGAGTTTAAGTATCTGATACTTTTTCCTTATTTATTATTCGAGTATTTGACTATCAGTAACATCCCCAAATGAGCCTATCTTAAAAATAAAGAAACATGCCAGATTTCTGACCAAATCTGACTATATGTTTTCCCTAAGTTGTCAGTAAATGGAAAATTTCCAAAGGAAATGATATCAAGTCGCATATCCATGTGAAAAGCTCTCCACTTAATAACTTCCTTTTTTCCATACCTGTGAAAGTAAAGGTCTACTTTTCTAGTTAGCCCCTCTTTCAGCCCCCACCCTGCATAGTGTCTTGCTCTCCCCAGCACTTTCCTGTGAGCTCAAAAAGATGATGCCAGGTACTCAGCTTTACCAAAAAAGTAAAAGTGGGAAGCCCAGAGAGAGGAATTCTGAAAAAGAATTAAGATAAAAATCTTCGTTGATTTTCACTTTCCTAACTGCCCCTTTCCCTATAGAAAAAATAGATCTTCAAACTTTCTAGGTGTTGTTGGTTTCATGCTTAGGTAACATCTCTCATATATGCTGCGACTCATTTCATGGAATCCTTCGTTACTATAATTTTCCTGCAAATAACTTTTGGGTGAGGAATATTCTTTTAAATGATAATTTTATTATTTCTATAGAGTTAAATGGCAGCTACTTTTCCTATACGTCTTCTGTGTATGACTGTGTAGGCACCAAATCACATCACTTATACCCATTTCCTATGACAGTGTCCACCGAAGTCCTCAGGCCCCTTGTCAGTGTCACAAAGGAACCAAAAGAAGGTAGAAAGAGCTTCTCCATGGAACCTGATCACAGGTCTGGAGAGTGCAGGGAGAGCCCCTGTACTTTGATCCATGTTTAAGCCAAGGTGGAAAGCTCATTCTGGCTCCTGCAGTTGTCCTTCCCACTTCTGCCCAGTAAGCTCCAAGCAACTGGGTCATTCTGAAGGGGAGTTTGGGAAATCACAGCTAATATCCACTCTCTTTTCATCTTAGTTTCCGAAGAGAAACTCAAGTAAGATGGGGTAAAGGTCAAGCCTGAGTAAAGTTTCTTGGAGCACTCCCATTTCCCCCCCAGGAATCCACTCCCTGTCTGACTTTCTTCCCCACTCCCTGACTATCTGTTCTTTCATCTGACAGTACAGTGAGCGCTTCTGAAATTCATGCTGCAGTGCTGCCCTCTTCTCATCAATTATCCCACAAAATGGTTCCATCTCCTCACCTTAAGCACTCATTGAAGGTCATCAAACAAAGTATTAGGGAGAAAACTATTTAAAGAAATTAATTCTACATTTCATAAAAAGATACTTGCTAATCTAATTGCTGGACTAGATGATTTGGGGACCAGCACATATATATTGCCCTACGAAGCGAGTTGTGAAGGTTTAGATCCATGTCGTCCAGTATCATAGCCACTAGCCACATGTGGAAATTTAAATTTAATTAATAATTTAGTTTTTAGCTGGCTAGACACATTTCATGTGATCAGTGACAACCGTGGATGGTGGATATGTTAAGCAGTCCACCACTGCAAAAATTCTGCTGGAGAACACTGGTGGGTCATTGCTACTCAGAACGTGGTGCAGGAGAAAAAGCATCCCTACCCTCTTGTAAAAAAAGCATTTCTACCCCTTAAAGAAATCAGAATCTCAGGTCCACTCCTACCTACTGAATCAGAAATCTTCATTTTAACATTCATCCAGTGATTACTACTGACCTAATACATTTGATCTCTCCTAAATATCAGGGATTTGAGATTTTTCAGAAGAGCCTCAGAAAAGCTCCCTCCCCAGCTCACTGTTCCCTGTTCATTTTCCAGCTATTCCCAGAAACTAGCTGAAATTCACCACCCTAGCTAAATTTCCTTCTCAATCTTTATTCCTAATTCTGGTTCTCCAAGAGTCCTCCCTATCCTGTATTTTCATATCTAGGGTGGGACACAGCTGGCCTTTCTCCAGGCCCTCACATTTGCTCAATTTGATTCTCATGTGACAATCTCACTTCTCTACAACTTAAGTCACAGGAACATTTCAGAAGAATATGCTCTGAGATAGGGACTTGTCAGACTTCTACAACTTGTACATTTTACTTTTCTTATCAATAGGTCATCCTGTGGACATAGTTCATGGTTGAGGACACCCAGAAGTACAATAGCATTAAATGAATCATTGGACATGCAAAAAATAAATAAATAAATAAACTAAAATGATTATAAGTAAGATGAATGCATCATTAAAGCCCTCAGAGAAGGCATGTTTGCTAAATTGTGATGTTTTTTGCTAACTTATCTTGATTTTCAGAAAGTTAATAATTCTTTCAAGTAGTGCCTGAAAAATAAGTCATTTTCTTGACCCTTAATATACAACATAGTTATTTCTATAAGATCTTTCCAATGATTTATTATGATTAATTCATCACTTAATATTTTTTATATACCAATATAATATACTAACACATTTCTGCTTAGAGATCCTTAGTTTAATTTAGTGAATAAAGAGAGCTCTATTTTAACCTTCATGGAAATTATTTTAACAAGAACTGAGCAAGAAAACACTCACCCAAAGCTATGACTTAGAAAATTATAGTGGAAACCTGCACATGTCATTTCTCGACCAAACCATCTTTTAACTCTAACTGGACTGACAGTATAGTGGACTTTTATATTATACAGTTGTGAATTCTTTAAGAATATAGCTTTTCAATAAGCTGTAGAAACATTGCATCTTTCAACCTTGGTGTCTAGAATCTGCCCTGCCCCTTCTTCTCAAAATGAACTCATCCTACATTTTTCAGATGCTTGTGGTGGTTTTATAACCCCAAGTTCCTTAAATTAGTGGAAAGAAGATTGAGAAGTGATGTCACAAACTTGACACCTAGACTCCTCCGCCACCTTCCTGGGGATTTCCCACAGTGTCTGACTGAACCTTTCTCCCTTTCCTCTGGTTGTCCACACCAAGTGTGTTGGGGCTTGGAATTTTTTTTTGTCTCTGCTGTGGGCATGTTCTCACTGACTTCTGTTTAGCAAGCTCTGTGTCAGATGGGTCGTAGGATGCCATTGCCATAGGATGCCTTTCTAAAGAAACAGCCAAACAATCTAAAAGGCAATGATTATTGATTTTAATTATACAAACATTGATTTTTATCTTTAGTATTGTGTATTTTTTTTCTTCCAGTTTTGTTTAGAGATATGACTGTTAGAAGAAAAAATTCAAAAGGTTTATCATTTCAGAGAACTGAGAGATTAAAAGACAGCTGGACTGTATCTATTTGAATACTTGTTTTTGTTATTTTCAAGAATAACTGAGCCTATATTAAACTCAGTAACAGTAATAAAGATAAGCCCATATTACTACTATAGGTGAACAGATCAGTTCCTTTTATCTAGCTAAGATATTTTATTTACATATATTTATACTCTTTCACTTTTTATGCACTTCCAAACTTTAGTTGGAAAAAGAGAAACCAACCCACTACTTAGGTTATAAAATCTCTACATAAAGTATTTCTTTGCAGCTACAACTTATTCATTGTATAGGAATTTATAAATAGTCTTGGTATTTCATAGGAACTGCATTTCATGAGTAAATTAACCAAATCTAAAGAAACATAAGATTACTTTTAAAAATGCATTAAAGTAAAAGTTTCATACTCAGTTGATAATGCCACTGACATAGGATAATGCAGTTAGATATACAAGCTAAAGGAAAAAGAATCTATTTTGTGATCCTAACTGTCTGATTGCACTATTGTTTACCACAGCTTAGCCATATCTATTTCTGTATTCTCAGTATTAAGCTGATATGTAGCTCAAGATTTCTTACCGTTCTGGTAACTGGTAACTAGTATTGTAAAAGGTTTTGGCATTGTAATATTCCCAGATTTGTGAGTTATATATTGTATATGGAAAATGACTGATGAATTGGAGTAATATATTTATCTAGAGCTGGGAAAGTACAATAATTATTTTCAAATCTCAAGTAAGTTGTATTAATTTTTTTCTTCCTTTTAAGTAAGATAAAAAGTCTCTTTATCATGTCTATTTATACAACATGTTTCTCCTTTTACTGGTTTTATTAATTTTCATATTACAGTTTTTCTTATCTTTTTATGCCAAAATAATTATGCTGGTTAGTCAGACTGTCAAGATGTCTTTTAATATGCTGGAATCTTGACAAACAAAATATTTAATAACAAACTGGCTTTGTATATTTTGTGGCTTTAAGACAGGAATTTTACCTTCAATTCTCTAAACGAGGCAGTGCTGGCATCGGCCAAGTTAATAATAGTACTCAATCATCAGTAGAAGGTTTTCAAAAGTTGTATAAATCAGTGCATTTATTTATTATGTTGTAAAACAATCTGTATTCAAAATACATATTCTAGCTCTATTACACTGTTAGAGTATATATAAACCATAACTCTGTTAACTATTTACTTATGTACTTGAAATACTCATTTCTGTCAAACAGATGCCCAACTTTTTTCCTTACCAACAAAAAAAAAAGTATTCTAGCACCCACAGGTAACTGAATAGTAATAAGGACTTTGTTAAAAAATGATCTTTCATGTTGAAAATACATAGGACTAAAGATGCAAAGCCAAAATGAAATCACCAAATTAAGAATTTAATATAGCCACAGCGCTATTATGTTATTTTTTGCCAATGTGTATTTTATACTGAGGTCAGAACTTACTTTCTGGGGTAAATTTTCAATTTTAGAATGAAAGAGTTCTGTGATTATATTGCCAATATGATCTTTAGATGAAAACATGTCACAAGCATTTAGCAGCCAGCTTTTGGTTCTAGGGAGTCTGTTTTTAACACATGCTTGCATTTGAGTTTGGACTGCTTCTCAAATGGTGATATGAGAGGTTACTCCCTATCATTATTTTTTGTTTTCTCAGTTATTGCAACTTAAATTGAATTTTTGAATTATTTCTACTTAGGAATATTCTTATTCAATTGTTGAAAAACTAAAAATTAAAACTGAATGTCACAACATACAAACAGAATAACATTGCCTATTTTGGGGGAAGACAAAAAAGCTATTCTGAGTTAAGTTGAGGTAGTATTGTATACCAAAGAAATCACTTTAATAAACCCTGAATCCAACTGTTTTATTGTTTTTACAGTAAAAGCAGTAGATGAATTGTGGGTTATTTAAGAAGTACAGTAGTAGGAGATTAAATAGGAATTAGTTTACTATGATTTTAAAGAGTTTTGTATTCACCTTAACCATAGTGCATGCAATTATTGAAGGCAGGGAAAAGAAAACACTTCAGAAACATGGAAATTAAAGGAAATAGGAGCTCGATCTGTACCAGAATCGGTTAAGGAATTTTCATCTGGATGCTCTAAGTTCATATTATTTATTTGGGGAAATGCTAAGAACTCACTTCCAAACTCTTCAATAGTTTAGAATCATTTTATTTTTTTCTATACTCACCTCAGACAGCCATTTTATAGCAAGTGCTGTGTGTGTGTCAAGTCTTTTCTTAGATTGACTACCCAAAGAGAAAACTGTCTCTTTAAGTCAGTGGTTAAAAAACCACTATGGTTTTTCCCTTGTTTGGCCCTGTCATGTAACGTACTGTCTGTACTAAGTGAATTCTGGATAGTTTCCTCCCTGTTTCTTCCAAGACTGGGTCTCTGACGTGGGGTGATACTCCCTCATGCAAAATACCTTCTAAATTTCTTGTAAAGAAACTAGAGATTGTCTTTATTACTGCCATAATGGAAATCTGAGTGTCATTAAAGGAAATAAATTAAAATAATTTAGCTAAGGGATATTGACTACTTATACTTGACATTCAAATTCAGCCACTCTCTGATCGTTAATGTAAAGATTTTTTTGCTACCTCTGTAATTTTTATAACATAAGATAACTAGAGCTCTTGTTGCATCTCCTTCCCCTGAAAATGTTGAAATTAGAAGGTGCAAACTGCAAACTGAATGTGTAACAGAAAAACTGAATCAGAACTCATGAGAATAATAGTCTGATCTGTCTTAATGACACAGCTTAGTTTTCATAATGACAGATCTCTAAATGATGATTTCAGAATGACTGATACAGTGACTAGAAAAAAAAATTATTTTTCTGGAAATTTGCTCCTCACAGGGACCTGATAGACATGTGATTTTGCACAATTAAGGTGAACTATAGCATTAGTCAGATCCTGTTTATAGATATAAACTGAATTTGTGTCATTTTATATCACTCATAATGTATGAGTATTTCATTTTTTAATTCAAATGTAAGAAGTCTTGTTTGCCACAGTTACCACCTCTTGTGGTATGTAATAACTAAAAACTGTTACCTAGGAGTCCGTTTTTCTTTTGTGATTCTATACAGCCATTATAAAATATTTCAAAATTATGATGTTACAGTAAAAATCTCTTTGAACTGAATAATTTCTAAAATTAAATAGAAGTCCAAAATGCATGTAATTAAATTTAAATGCCCTCTTTCTTCTCTCATTTAATGGACATTTTCCTATCTTCTCTATACTTGGCACTTGACTGGATGCTGGGGATACAAACAAAATAAGGCATAGCTTTTGTCTGGTAAAGTTCAAGTTTGTTTGCACAGTTGTTTTTCTATGTCTGTTTAAAAATTTAGAGGACTTTTTCATTAAATTGTTTTTTACTGAGGTAACAGTCTATAACACCTTTGTTTTCGGGGTATAGGTTGATGCCTCTGAGAGGTAAGCTACCACACCACACATACTGTCAAAGCCCCAATAACCTTTTACATAGTTCCATTGCCCTCCCCCAACTGTCTTTCTCCCTCCTCACCCCCCCTACCCCAACACACACCCATCTCCCTATCAGCTGTCATCTTCCTCTGGTAGCCTTAGTTGTGCAGTCAGACTTAAGGGGATGCTTTGATTTGTCTGTCCCTTTGCTTTGTTTCTTTATATTCCACATGTGCGTGAAACCATCTGATATTTATCTTTCTCCTTCTGATTTATTTCATTTCACCTAGTCCTCTTTGCTCCATTCATGTTGTCACAAATTGCAAGATGTCATTTTTTAATAGTGAAGTAGTATTCCATTGTGCCTTTTTACCACATCATCTTTATAACCGGATCTGTCATGCATTTAAATTGTTTCCATTAGCACTATTATAAGTAGTGCTGCAATGAAGATAGGAATGAATATACCCCTTCAAATTACAAAGGGCATTTTTTAAAACAAGTGTTTTTCAGGTTATTTCAGAGTAGTCTCCTTCCATCAAAAAACTAACCAAATTTTGTGTAATAAGGAAGTGATCCCATTTTTATGTGTAATTTTTTTGTATTTTTAGGTCATCTGCAGATAATGTTTGACCGTCATTTGTCAATTACATCTTTCATCAATCCCATAGAACCCTGTTTCAACAACCATAGGTGCTATATGTGACCCATATGACTAATAATGTTATAGAATATGAGTGAAATTTCAGGTCCATTTTAAGAAGGGATATATCCTGATTAGCGACTCACCAAAATATATAAGCTATGCTTGTGAACCCACAGTAGAAAGAGGTTATAAGGGAATGTTTTCTGGTATACTTCGAAGGCTCCACTCCAAGTCACGGGTTTATGTTTTTATCTTGATTGTATTTAATGGGAGTAGGAAGAAATAATATTTAAAAGGTAGCATCCATGGCTAAGCATATAGTCAATATACAGCTAGTATTTGTATGTCTTTGTACACTGACATATAGATGAACCCAAACAAAAATATTTGAATTAGAAAAATAACTTCTCTACATACTTGATGGTTAGGGAATAGGGTTCCTTTATGCGAAGGAAAAAACTGACTTTGTATTTATTGTTAGTAAGTATGGAAGGACATTACTTGTATGTATATTTACATTTTGATAGGCATATTTTGAACTTACTGTTTCCCATTAGCATAAAGCATCAGCCATCTCTATGTTCTCTGACAACATTAGTCTTTTTTCTACATTGTAAAGGATCCACAAGAGGCTCAGAGGCTGGACATTTGTCCTTATATTCAGCAAATTCATGTTACCTGTCAATAGAAAAGATGATCAGTGATCATTGGCAGTTTATCATATTAAAAACACAGCAGCTTAATTCCTTTTGTCCTTTCCATTGCAAAAGGTAGACTTAATTTCACTTTTGCCATATTATTTATAGTTAAGAATTTACTACATTTTGGTAGTCTATTGTCAAACTTGTACTTGTGTCTGAAAGATGCAGATTGTGTTTATTTATTACACAGTGGGCTCTGTTTGCTGCAGAAAAGAGTGAAACTTTTAACTGCTTAGCACACTTGCCAGTGAAATATACCTGACAGAGCAGAGGTTATAACTTTGGCTCTAATTACTTTTAATAATGGTAAGAAAACATGAGTTTTGTTTGTTTACATGCTGTTTACAATGGCATAATTTTTTAAATATATACAACAATTGAGATATTTATTGCATACTATTTTAAAGATGTTTTATGTGTTTTCACCTTTGGAATATATTGTTACAGTTCCTTATACAGATAATTTGGGTGGCTTTGTTAATGTAGCTAGTAATTTTTATGACTACTAAGTGACCGTTTTTCCGTGCCTTTTATTGTGGGATGCATGACTATGTATTTATTGTACGGAAGTCACTGATGTGTGTATTTTTGTACTTTGCTGAGATAAATGGTTGATCTCGATGTACATGATGATGAGGGATGCCTTTCCCAAAAGGCACTGCCTTGAGATCGTCCTTCTCAAATTAAAAGAAAAAAAAAAAGTTTGGAGTGTATGAAGTCTTTGTTCTTTCCAGTAGGAGACTTTCTTTCTGATTACACTTTTTATTCTGAAATAATTGTAAGTTCACATACAGTTGTAAGAAATAATACAGAGAGACCCCATGAATGCCTTACCCATTTTTACTCAGTGATAACACCTTATTCATGTAAAATGTGGTATGACAGCCAGATTATTGAGATGGACAGCTGAGATACTGACCAGTTCTCTCATCACAAAGACCCACAAATAGGATTCCTCATGTTGCCCTTTTATAGTCATAACACATCCCTTTCATCTCCACTTGAAACCCAGCTACCTATCTCCACTTAGATAATTTTGTCATTTCAAATGTTACGTTAATGACATCAGACAGTAGGTGATGTTTTTTCACTCAGCCTAAAATAGAGTCATGGAAATTGTTATATGTATTGATAGTTTATTTATTTATTTATTTATTCGTTTATTCATTTATTTATTTATTTATTAAAGATTTATATATTTGTGCTTACAGAACTGGGTACAGGCCAGAGGCTCAGGGGTGGCGAGAGGCTTCACCAGAGACAGAGTGGGGAGAAGAACAGGCAGAGACAGAGTGGGGAGAAGAACAGGCAGATCGATGAAGTACACTTCCGAAGGGAGCAGCGGGCGGGTCAGGAGAGGTCTGCCATACCATGTGGTCACCTCCGGGGCAGGTGGGAATCGAACTCATGTGAGGTGACTTTAGCTTCTCAGTGCTGTGCTTTTTTTTTTTTTTTTTAGACTTATTTGTTTATGCTTACAGAGCTGGGGTACAGGCCAGAGGTGTGGTGGGTGAGAGGATTCACCATGGACAGAGTGGGAAGCAGGACAGGCAGATGTACTGAGATACACTGCTGAGGGGAGCAGCGGGTGGGTCAGGAGAGGTCTGCTTCACCATGTGGGTCAACTCCCTGGCTGGGGATCGAACTTGTGCTGCAGTGGCTTTGCAGAGCTTCATAATGCGGTGCTTTAACCCATTGCACCACCAGGGAGAGCCCCTCAGTGCTGTGCTTTAACCCACTGCGCCACCAGGGAGGGCCGATAGTTTATTTTTTTTTAATTGTTGAGTATAATTCCATCCAGTAGAGGAATTTGATCTTTTTTTTTTAAATTGAGGTAGCACTGACTTACAACACTGTAAATGATTCAGAGATAATGGAGAGATTCTTAATGGTAAAACAATTTGGTTTAGCATTGTAGTAATTAGTCCTAGAAGTTTAGCAATAAACACTTACTTAAGAGCCCAGTGAGTAACTGGTGTCTCCAGTGATAATGAACTATGACTAGCACAACTGTGAGATTACTGTCTAGTGAGGAAGAGAGAGCATGGTAGCACAGAATGTTGTGTGCAGTGATTAAAAGTATGCCAGTAAGTATGGGGGATACCACAAAGGAAAGGTGGCTATACAGGAGGTCCCTAGGTGAATGATATGGAATTGAGTCTTAAAACACTTAGCCAGATAAAGTATATGTGTGGGAAAGGCAGAGATGACAATGCAATTGGAAGGGGGAAAGCCACCTGGGAATAGCTTGGTGCTGCTGAAACGGTGAAGTGCAGGAGCTAGAACTTCAGTAGGTGAGGACAGGAACAAATTTGAACCCTAAACAGATCAGTGACCTCTGTAAGTGAAACTGAATTACAAGGGTCTCCTAGGCAGTATAAAGGATTAAGCACTATGAAGCTATAGGGTCCCCGGCCAGGAAGGAGCTGACCCACATGACTCTGCAGACTTCTGACCCACCCACTGCTCCCCTAAGCAGTGTATTTCAGTCAATCCACTGTTCTGCTCCCCAATCTGTCTCTGGTGAATCCTCTCACCCACTCCACCTCTAACCCCTGCACCTCTGGCCTACACCCTAGCTTTTGTAAGCATAAATCTTAAAAAAAAAAAAAGACTGACTTGCAAAGTCAGGGTGGAGGACAGGGAGGTCATTAGAGGTTGTAAAGAGGTCTACGCAAGAGATGGTGAAGGGACTTCTTTGGGAGGTTTTAGTGGAAATGAAAAGGTGGGATTAGACTTGAGAAATACTGAAGCTTGTATTTAGAGCCTGACTTTGGATGAATGAGAAGAGAATTCCAGGTTTCTAGCGACAGAGAGTACCAAACAAATTCAGATTCAAGCATCACAGGTTTAAGGTAACTATAGGATGTAGGTAGGTTACATGACAATGTTAAAAAGATACAGAAAGAGCTATAGATCTAAAGCTATCAATGGTGAATTTATCCCGATCTCAGGGTCTGGTCCGTATCTCAAAATTGATGTCCAATATCTTTGGCACTCACACCTCTGGGGAGGGGTACCAGCTTCTCTGGGAGACAGGTGCATTGAAACTGATTCTGGTTGTGCCACAGGAAGAAACTGAAGAATAAGACTAATTCCTTTGTGGATCCCTCAGACAACAATGGCCCAGCAGTAAACAGGAAGTGAGTCCTTCCTGCCTTCAATTTCCTTCTGTACCCCTCATTGGCAGAATGGGAAACCAGCTGGCCAAAGGATCTCCAACTCCAGCATCACAGAGGAGAGTATGAGTTAGATGTATTTTGGTCTGAGACGACATTCCAACAAGTGTCTGCTAAATCACATCACAGTGTTCTTTAAGAACAGTATGCATGGGCCTCTCTGGTGGTGCAGCATGTTAAAGCACTGCACTAAGAAGCTAAAGCCACTTCAATATGAGTTCGATCCCTGCCCCCAAGGTGACCCACGTGGCGCGGCAGACCTCTCCTGACCCGCCCACTGCTCCCCTCAGCAGTGTACTTCATAGATCTGCCTGTCTGTCTCTGGTCAATCCTCTCACTGCCCCTGCACCTCTGGCCTGTAACCCAGCTCTGCACAAATAAATCTTTTTTTAAAAAAATTATAAAAAAAGAACAATATGCACAATCTTTATTGCCTTCAGATGAAAATGAGGCAAACTGCCCCAGGAGGAATAGTTGGGGAATGGAGTTTTCTTAGCTTGAAATAAAGGAAAGCTGGGACTGGCAGGGCATATGGGTGGGGATAGATGAGCTTAGGTATGAGAACTATATGTTTAAATATTTGAGAGGCTGTTGTAGGAATCTTGGACTTGCCTAAATGAGATAAGCAAGTGAAACTAACAAAAAACTTGAATGTATGAAGATTTACTGAACTGTACCAAAGAATGAGATTCCTTTGGGGTGGAGGTTTCAAATAGCATCTGAGAAAATGTGTATTCTGTGCAAA